CCCCCTCTGTGGCTCTGGCTCCTACAGGGCGACCCTGGCCTCCAGGCATCTGAGCACTGTTCCCTTCCATTGTCTCTCCATCCTTTGGGTGGCAGTGCCTTCTGCTGTTGCTAATCTTTGGATTGTCTCATCATCTTCCATTTGGTAGTTTCATTCCTTCCCTGGACCAGATTCCCCTTGTCTGACATGCCTAGGGTAATTTCTATTTTGCGGACTGGATCTTAACTGACACACACCTTACAGTGGTTGAAGTGGATCCCTCTCAAAACAAACCAGATGAGGCATGGCCCTGCTCCAATTTCCCCAACAACTTCCCATCGTCAGAACAGACCCTCAACTCCTCTGTGACAGGAGTGAGTCTCCATTACCTACCATTTCCCCACCTCTCTGAGCGAACCCTTCTCCTTCTTGCCATAGCAAGCATCTTGCTATATTCCTCCCAGCTGTCAAACCAGTTTCTACCTTAGGATCTTTGCCCTTGCTGTCCCCTCTGCAAGAACACCCTTCCCTTTGTCCATGGCTTGCTTCTTCATGCAATTCAGGATTCTGCTTGAGGGAGGCCTTCATTTCCAAAAGAAAATCATTCCACCCTCCCATCACTCAAATCCTTTTACTCTGCTTTATTTTTCTTCCTTGTACTTTCCCTACTTGACACTATTATTTCGTATTTATGCACGCATTTGTTTAGCACCTGCTTTGCTAGAATGTAAGCTCTAGCAAAAAAAGCTATATTTGCTAGAATGACAGCAGGAACCTCATCTGAGTCTCACTTGTACCTGTGTCCCAGGCTCCCATCACAGGCACACGATCAGCATCAGCACAGATCTGGATGGTGAAGACCAGGACATGGACTTCTGGATTGACTCATTTTATGCTGGAATTCAAAGAGCCCTGGTCCAATTCTCTACTATTCAGATGAGAAAACTGGGGCCCAACTAGGGAAGGAATGTGTCCCAGGTCACACGACTGAGTTGGACCTGGAATCCAGGTCAGCTGTTTCCTAGAGCTCTATCCACACAGGCACCCCTTCCTATAACTGGCCACAACTTGAACATGGGCATTTGCCTCTAGGAAGTGAAGCTGGACTTTTGAGGTTTTGGTTCCTGCCCAGCCAGGTGCACCAGCCTCGGGCAGTCCCTGAGCTACCAGGGGCTGGGGAAGGCTCAGTAGGGCCAGGCAGGAGCAGCAAATGAGAAAAGTGGACTGGGGAAGGCAGTAGGAAGGGATGAAGACCATGGTGGGCTGCAGAGTGCAGCTCCCTCCAAAATCATCAAATTAAAAGTTAAAACACTATGCAGTGTGTGTATGTATGTATATGTCTTGTAAAATTTGCAAAAGAAACAGGAAACATAAGCCAGAAACCAATGAAATTGGCTCCCTCTAGCAGGTGAGTAGGAATGGAGTGAGGGGGACAGGACTCTTCTGAGCACACTGTAGTTTAGCGTTTCGGAACTATGTTAATGTTCCACATATTAATGACAATAAAGTAACAATGATGGGGAAAACCTCCTAAAAGATAATATAGGCCAGGCACAGTGGCTCATGCCTATAATCCCAGCACTTTGGGAAGCCAAGGTGTCTGAGCCCAGGGGTTTGAGACCAGCCTGGGCAACTTGGCAAGACCTCATCTCCACAATAAATCCAAAAATTAGCTGGGCATGGTGGCGTGTGGCTGTAGTTCCAGCAACTTGGAAGGCTGAGGTGAAGGACCACCTGAGCCCAGCAGGTCGAGGCTGCGGTGGCCATGAGCATGCTACTGCACTCTATCCTGGGGGACAGAGTAAGACTCCAACTCAAAAAAAAAAAAAAGATAATATAAACAGAAACAAATGAGCCACGAGCCTACCTGTATTTCAAATGAATAACAGGCACACTGAAGAGAAATAAAGTACTAATCCAAGTAACATTTGAACCTGTCTTCAAACTGTTACTTTGACCATTGACCCCCCTTCCCATCTAAAGACAAAAGGATAAACTTGAATAAGATTAAATACATCTTGAGCTCTACTTAGAAAGTTTGTTTTTCACAATGGTATGGGTATAGCAATTCTGAAACTCCTTTTCGTGTAGGATTGAGCAAATAAATATATTGATGTTGATGGAAATCTAGGTTCTTACTGTTTGAGAATTGAGGAAATATGGAATTGAGGAAGAATAGAAGAACTATTGTGTTTGTTTGGAACTGGAGAAATATAGATACATGTGTTTGCTATTTATTTACATATGTACATTTCCTAGTTCTCTTTGTTAAAAGGGCTTAAAAGCAATGGCACTCCAGCACAGGGAACACATCTACTGCCCAGATCTTGAATTCTAAACACCATTTCCTATTCCAGAGAACAGGGCTTCTTGGAGAAATGGCTGATTCCAGGTTTGTATAAGATGAATCTGGAACATCTTGTGATGCCAGAATATGCTAAAAAAAAAATGATAGGGACACAGAAGGGACCTTCTGCTGACCAAATCTGGGACAATGTGAGGATCAAAATAAATAACAGTAATGGATTAGTTGCGTCCATTGAATAAAATAAAAATCCATCAGTCTATATTGATAATAAAAAAACAAGAGAATATTAATACATATAAAATAAATGACGGCGTTAGTTAACTATTGCTTGCAACTATCGTAGCACAATTGGTTCAGTTAATTGATATCAGGTAAATTATCATCAATGGATATTAAAACTAGTGGGTGAAACTTGATGAGGAATGGGACATTTACACATCACATATTTTCCAACAGATTACTGATGAATTACAAAGGGGAGAAATGATGGCTTCACAGTGGAGAAGCATGGTGGACACCACCTTAATTAGGTAATCAAGAGTTAATTAACATGAGCAAGAATGGAACAGGGATCTCCCAATGTAATCCACTGAGAGCACATCATTTTCATGATGTCCCTGCCCACACAATACCTGAATCTAATATGATAAAGCATCAGAGAAACCTAAACTGAGAGACATTCTATAAAACAACTGGCCTGGCCGGGCTCGGTGGCTCAGCCTGTAATCCCAGCACTATGGGAGGCCGAGGTGAGTGGATTGCCTGAGCCCGAGGGTTCGAGACCCGCCTGGGCAACTTGGCGAGACCTCATCTCCACTATAAATAAAAAACTAGTCGGGCGTGGTAGCGTGCGCCTATAGTTCCAACTACTTGGAAGGCTGAGGAGAAAGGATCGCCGGAGCAGAGCAGGTCGAGGCTGCCATGGCCGGGAGTGGCCATTGCACTCGCGTCTGGGTGACAGAGTGAGACTCCAACTCAAAAAAACAAAACAAAACAAAACAAAAAAAACAACTGGCCTGTACTCTTCAAGTGTGTCAAGAATATCAAAGTTAGAAGAAAAAAAAAAGGCTGAAGAACATTTTCAGATAAAAGGAGACTAAAGAGACACAACAATCAAATGTAATGTGTGGCCCTAAACGGTTCCTGAACTGCTACAGCAGGGGCACCTCCTGTCTGTGGGCTGGCTCACCTGGGGTGATCACTGGCATTCCTGCCCAAACAGCCTCCTTTCGGGTTGCAGAGCTGTGCTTCTCTGATATGTGCTCAACTTGTTTGTGATATTCAGATTAAGACAAACAGGGATGTTTGGTGCCAAGCCATGATTGTTTGGGCTACAGGATAGAATCACCAGGTCCCCAGTGACAAATAGCTCTGAGTTGATGGTGAGGATCCACTTTGAAGGTTCAGTGGTTAGAAGAATGCGGCTGTTGCAATGATGGACCAGGGTGGGCAGGGATGTGTGTGCGACCCACATCAACCCACATGAATGCTCACTCCCTGGAGTGGGGCTGGAGCTGCCTGTGCTGTGTCACCAAGGATGGAAAGGCAGCCCAGGCCTAGTTCAGTATGGCACAGACAAGCAGAGGCTTGGGGTGAGAGAATACCATGTTTAATGACTTGCCTGTACATGCCTGCAGTTTAGTCTACCTTGGTGACCACATCTCCCAGATGTGTAGTCTAGGCAGGATGGACAGCCTGGGTGGATATGGGATCTGACCCCCTCTTGGCCTGGGCCCCTCTAACCACACAGCCTTGAATAGCTGCTGCCTCAGTATCCTGGTAATAAGCCCTTACCATGCCCATCATCTCCGGAGGCAGGACTCTAGAGCCACGACCATGCCAGACTTAATAGGGATTGGAAGGAAGGAGGGTCACTGTCTGGGATACAAGAAGTCTTGTCAAGAAAGGGTGATATGATATCAGTAAGTCAAAGGGATGTCTGCTCTCCCATGATCACTGCAACATTATTCACAATAGCCAAGATATGGAAGCAACCTGAGTGCCGCCCTCAGATGCATGAAAAAAGAAAATGTGGTGTATCTATCAACGAAATACTATTTGACCTTAAAAAGGTGGGGGGTGGGGTGGGGAAATGCTATCATTTGTGAAATCATGAATGAACCTGGAGGACATTAGGTTAAGTGAAATAAGCAAGGCACAGAAAGAACAAATGCCACGTGACCTCACTTACATGTGGACTCTTAAAAAAGTTGAACTCATAAATGTAGAGAGTAGAATAGTGGTTACCAGGAGCTGGGGGAGGGTGGTTGGGGGATGTGGGTCAAAGGACACAAAATTTCAGTTAGACAGAAGGAATGAGTTCAGAGATCTATTGTGCAACAAGGTGACTATAATTAATGACTATGTTTGTACTTCTTTTGGGTGGGGGACAGGGTTTTGCACTCCAGGCTGGAGTGCAGTGGTACAATCATGGCTCACTGCAGCCTTGAACTAACTACTAGGTTCAAGTGATCCTCCCGCCTCACCCTCCTGAGTAGCTAGGACTATAGGCACGTGCCACTATGCTCAGCCAATCTTTAAACATTTTTGTAGAGACGGGGTCTCGCTATGTTGCCCAGGCTGGTCTTGAACACCAGGGTTCAAGTGATCCTCCCACTTCGGCTTCCCATAGCACTGAGATTACAGGCATGAGATTACAGGCATGTGCCTGGCCAAGAATGTACTGCATTCTTGAAGAAAAAAAAAAAAAAAAGAAAGGAAGGGGTAATATGGGGGTACCAGAGATGGGCAGGAAGATTGAAGACCATGATCTAGCCCTTAGCAGGACCCCAGAGGGCAGGGTGGGCAGCTCAGAGGCGAACCTCCAGCAGGTAGCGCAGGCAACACTGACTCTCTTGGTAGATCAGGTACTCGCTCTGGGAGAAGTGGGAGCTGCTGAACTCTGGACAGGGCACAGGCCGGCCCTGAGGTACCACCACTCGCTGGCCATCCAGTTCCAGCTCAGTGTCCTGGGTTGGATCTGCAGGGTATATACAACAAGGGCCATGGGTGACCCAGGGCCACCAGTCCATGGCCTTATCAACAAGTCCTGCCCCTTACACTTTTCACTTCTGCCACTGAGAACGCGTGGTCATTCCTACCCTGCCCACCTCCAAGCCACTGCACAAGCTGGCCCTCTTGTCTGGAATATCCTCCCGTACTTCCCTCTGGAAAATTGTGAGGAAGGCTGCTTCTTTTTGTCCCTCCCTATGGCCTCCTCTCTGAGAACTTCCCAGTCTCCTACATCAGCCCCACTTCTATCCTTGGGACCTGTCCAGCTTCCCAGGACTTACCAGGCTCTGTGTAGCCTCGGGCAATGACACTGTCAAAACCAGGGGGCGGAGACTTCAAACTGGGATTGTCTGTGGTGATGTGGTGCTCTTTGCCCAGGGCCACCTCGCCCAGGAACATGTAGCCGACATGGTGGTTCCCACAATTCATGCCAGTCACTGGAGGGCAAGAGGAGGCAAGGGGTGGCATCCCACCCCTCCCACTGCCCGATTCCTCTGCTGCAGTGCTATCACTTCTGGCTTTGCTGCACCAGCCCAAAAAAGGCTCACTCTCCTCCAGCCATAACTCCCTCCCACAAGTCCTGGCTTGCTCCCTCCCATCTCACCTTGCGCCCTGAGGCCAGGCCTCTGCACCTTCTGCTGTTTTCACCAAGTTCAGCAATGGCTTCCCAGTGACCAGACCTGGTCTGCTCTGCTGCCTTTGATCCTGGCATCATCAGTCCCTACCCTGGGACCCCCTTGTGTTGGCTCTCCCGAGGCCCCCAGCTATCTTAGGCTCTTCTGCCCTCCCAATGGGCCCCTTGGTCTTGGCAACCTCAGACATCCTAGAACTTCTGTCCCATTTGTTCTTGGATGGATCCTAGGATCTTGCTCTCTGGGCCAGCTTTATGGTGGCCTCCAATGATGGGGTCAGCCTAGGCTGAGGAGCTGTCTGGGGAGGTCACTTCAGGGCAGAAACCCCTGACCAGAAATGCACAAGTTTCTGGAAATCCCTTTGGCCCCTTCACACATGCTGCCCATCCTACTTCCCACATGACTCTCTCTTGGGTCCACCACCCCGCACCTCCACAGCCCTGGGCTGGGTGCTCATCACATCTGGCCTGGATGAGCATGGCCTCCTTGCATGCAGCCTCCAGCCTCTGCCACCCTCATCACGGCGACAGCTACTGAGATCCTGCTACAGACAAGTCCAGCTGGACTTCCCATAGCTCTGTGGATAAGGTCCCCTTGATTGTCCTGGGCCCCCAAGTCCCCCTTCCCCCTCTAGGCATTGCTCTAAGCTTCAGGATCAGGAAGTGCTTGTAAGTCCTGACCTGCCGCAGCCTTCCAGCCTCTGCACATCCTCTTGCCTTGGAGGTTCTTCTTTTAGCCCCTCCCAGGTCTGGTTGGTGCTCATCCTATGTGTAGCACTTCCTCCAGGAAGCCATTCCTGACCACCAGACACCTTTTTTGAGTCTCCTCGAATCCCAGGATGTCACACTGGGTACTCTGGTCAGTAACCAATTAAGGGTTCCTCTCCCAAATCCACCACATGTTCCAGTGGGTGGAAACTGAGCCCAATCCACCTTAGTGCTTTCATACCAGCCCTGGGCTTGGCCCAGAGGGGCACCTCACCATAGCCAGCTGACTTGCTGTTCTCCGAAGCGAAGTAGATACCCTTGCCAACGCGGCCACCAGAATGTGGCATGATGCGGAGCCCGCTGGTGAGGATGGCAGCCACCACGGCCACGTTGGTGCCATGCCACAGTAGCCTCCGATTACCCAGCATGGCATGGGCCTGGAATCTGTCTCCCTGAGTCAGGGTGGAGGTGGGAATAGGAGAGTTATGCCACCCAAGGGCTCAGGTGCCTCTCTCTGCTGCTCAGATGATGTGACCAAGGCCTAGGGCCCCTCTGGTCACTCACACACCCATGACCTGATGGAAACTGATCAGAGTTGCTAAGCTATTTGCTAAGGGGCAGATAAGGCAAGATTATCTCCCTAAGGGAGAGGGTGGTGATGAGAGGGGTCAGGAGGAATCTCCCTCACCTCCCCTTCTCGGTTCACTTTCCAGACGTGTTGAAGAGCAGGACACCTGTAGTTGTTGCCAGTTTGTTCTAAGTAGGTTTGTATCACCTGTGGGAAGAGCAGAAGCTGGGTATCAAAGGTGGGACACCTGGGGACTAACCTTCTCTGGTCCCCCTAGTCCCAGAGCTCTACTTAGGCCCTGGAGACACAGGGAAAAATGGCTGAGGGTGAGGATCTTTCTGGGCACTTTGAGGGCAGGTAGGCAGAGGGATGGTGTCCAGAGTGGGCCTGGCTTCTCCATGGGGCCTAGCCCACCTTGTACTCAGGTACCCCAGAGTCCAGCAGCTGAAGCTGACACTTGAGAAGCTGGTAGTCTCGGTCCAGGGGGTGTGGCACCTCTTCCACGATCTTCTCCTGCTCAGGGGCTGCCTGCAGGGTCTGAGCCAACTCAATGTCCGCCAGCACCTAGAATGATGGGCACTAGCAGCTTGTCTGTCCAGCTGACCTCTGGCATCACCCCTCTTCTCCCACATGACTGGTACCACCGCCACCTCACCTGTTTGGCCATCTCCACCCCATATACCTGCCTGGTCTTTCCCTTGCCTGTCCTCCAGCCTACCCAAGGCAGTCCATCCCTCTGGGCTCTCTCAGTCATCTGTCCCTCATATCCTTGCTAGTGTGTCTGTTTGATGCCTCTACTTCCTGCATGTGCCCCTGCCAGCCCTCACCAACAGCATGTCTTTCTTGGCCTGCAGAAGCTCGGGGGAGTTAATGGGTGGGGGCCTGCTGCGGCCAAAGTTGTGTGGGATGACGGTGTAGAATCGGGAGGACAGCTCCTCCAGGCTTTGGCCACCATCTGTGGAGTCTTTCAGGGCCGCCTCCAGGGCCTCCAAGACCTCGAAGCCCCGCGCAATCTGCTGCTTGCTCAACTTCCCCAAGGGCATCTTCTTCACATCTGGGGATGAGGGAGTGGGGAGATTCAGCCCCACAGCCCTGCCACCCCGAGGCCTGCCACCTTGCCCACCCCATACCCCTCACCCCTCACCCAGGTCCATGAGTGCCATGGCGTTCTTGAACATCTCCTTGCTGAAGATGTTGGTGATGAGCTTCTGTGTGGCTGGGTCCAGGGAGCAGGGCCGCACCTGCTTAGCCACAGTCCTGTCTGGGCCTCTCTCCACCTGGGGACAGAGCACACATGTGGGCAGGAGCAGCTGGGCAGGGCACAGCACCAGACAGAGACTGGCCAGGCAGAGGCCAGCGAAGGAAGTCTGCGCCTGAGATTGTATAGCTGGGCGGTGACAGAGCCTAATCAGCTGGGTATCTCTAGCCTGTCCCCTCCCTCAGCCCTGGGCCCACCTACCCTCCTTGGCTACTTCACCTTCACCACAGCCTCCTGGGCCTCGTCCTCTCCCTGTACTTCGATAAGTGTGTACTTGCCGGGGTGGGCCACAAAGTGATCCCGCTCCGCCCAGCTGTTCTTGGTCTTGTCCCGAAATTTCTTCTCAAAGTCCTTCTTTGCATCTTCTAGTCTTGGGAAGTGGCTGAGCTTGGACTGGCCGACCTCTCCCTGCAACCAAAAGGCTTCAAGGGTGTGCTCACCATAAGCATTTGCTGGCCTCTACATTTGGCCAGATCCTGTACTGAGCGCTCCTGGACAGTTGGAAGTGTCCCCACAGTCAGCAGCTGTGGCCTTTTGGAGACCCTGGGGAGTATGTGCCAAGCAGCAACACAAGTGGGCATGGTGTAGGGCACTCACCACACGGCCCCAGCGGTTCCAACAGACAAAGCGGTTGCCCTCTTCAAGCAGCTGGATGATATAGAACTTGTTGTTGTTGTTTCCGATGTTGGTCTGGTTCAGGGTGCAGTCATAGTCCTTGTGTACCTGGACCGGAGGGGAGTTGGGGGATGGGAGCAAGCTGGCTGGGGTTGGATGAGGTACCTGGCCACACACTGAGAGGGGTCAGGAGTCTGCACTGGGGAGTCAGAGGGACCCTGCTTGGAAGGCTTGTGGGGGGGCTATTGCCCTGCCCTAGGGGATACAGTCTAAGAGATCATGGCTAAACCCTGGAATGGGGGAATGGGGGTTCTGGCAGGACACCCAGAGGATAGAGGAATCTGAAGGGAACATGTCTCTGTCCTGAGGGGCTGGCTTGAGAGACATGGGTGAGCCCTGGGGAGAATGAGGGAGTCACAGCCTTTCCCTAAGTGTGGTGGGGGGAGGCCTGCCTGGGGTCTGAAGGGGAGACATGACCTATCTGGACCTGATAGGGTACAGTTCTAAACCCTGGAGTCAGGAGAACCTAGTCTTGCTCTGGAGCTTACTTGGGGACCTTGAGCTACATGGCCAGAGCTGAGCCCCAGGGAAAGGGGAACAAGCCCCTGGGCGTGTTTGTACTTATGAGGGAGCAGCCTCTGGGCTTCACTGAGGACTGTAGCTCACCTGGGTCCCAGGGTTGCTGCTGAGTGGACATACAGGGTCCACACGGATTACACGCTTCTCTGCAGGTGCGGCCCTGAGGGCCTCCGCGGTGGAACGAAAGCTGTCTTCTTCCCCTGCCGTCTGCCGCCCCTTCTTCTTCTTCTCGGGGCTTTCAGTCTGTACCGAGGGCTTGCGCTTTGGAGCCATGGCTGTTCAGGGTACAGAGAGGGCCCTCAGGCCTCCATAGCCTCCTCACCCCCTCCTAACCCCACCCCACCCCAGCCAGCACAGCACCAAATTGCCCCACCCTGGGCTTGCCCTTTGGTGGCCTTCTGTTGCTTCCCCTGCCTGCTCCGTCAGCATTCCCAGCCCTGGACCACACCCGGCTCCCTGTACCTCGGTCTTCCCACTCTGGTCAAGGAAAAGTCTGGCTACCTACCCGTACAGCTCTCCAATATGTCCTCAGGGGAAAAGTGAAAGGAGACTCTCTCCTACTTCTGGGCTCCTCCCTGTCCAGAACACTCTCTGGCTATCGCCTGCTCCTCCCCCTTTGTCAGCTAGCTCAGACCTGGCATGGTTGCTGGGCTGAGTCACCAGAGCTGAGGGGGCAGGGTGGGCAGTGGCTCCTAGGAGCCAGATTTATCCCTTCAGACTTGGAATTCAGTTTTATAGAAGCCCTGTTGAATGAACTCAAGGGCTCTGGGGTGTCAGCCAGTGCTCCAGATCAGTGGCCAGAGGGCAAGAGCCAGTCCCACCAGGCCCTGCCCTGCCCTGACCTGCAGAGGATTGTGGGCAGGATCATGGGACACTCACCTAAGAAAAGCAGGGACGTGGGAGAGGTGGCTGCCACCAGGTCTGGTTGTGTGTGCCTCCCAGGGCAGTCCCAGGTCTTGGCTCCTCTAGCAACCCCTTCTGAACCTTAGGCAAGAGTGGGGAAGGAATTTCCAACAATGGACAGAGGAAGGGCTTGGGTGAGGGGTAGAAATCCAGCTATTTGGCCACCACTGGAGTGAGTCAGAGGGCTGGTGCAGGCCAAGCTGGGCGGCCTGTCCCACAGATGGGTGGACACTGGATCTGGGCAAGGAAGCTGATGCGCCCTTAGCGCTGCTCATCTGGCCTGGGGCATGCGGCACGCGTCTGCTGGTTGCCCAGTGATCTTGGGTCCAGGTACGGGAACTGCTTCCTTCTCCCCAGGGCGGCCTGGATCCCCCCAGTTGTCGCCAGGCTAGTTTGCCCTTGCCTGCGTCCAAGACGGGGAGGAGTCATGCTTCAGCACTCGGAACCCCGCATATCTGGCGCCCCCCAGCGTCCAAAGGGCGCAAACACAGAGAAGGCCCTCTTGGTCCGACCCTCTGGGGAAGTACACCGGCAGAAGAACGCAAGCGCCTCAAGCCGGAAGTGCCGGGAACCACTTGCTTCCTACTGAGACTGGAGCGGTAGCCTATACGAGTTCTAGGAGGCGGGGCCACGAGCGTCTATCCTATGGGCTCTTGGGGGCGTGGCAAAGTCTGCCGAAGGGCTCAATGGGGTAGTGAGGGGCGTAGCCCGTCGGGCGGTGAAAGCCTATCAGGGCGCGGGGTCTTGCCATGCGGCCGGGGTTTAGTTGCCACGTGAGTTATCTGGCCGCTGCTGCAACACACCAGGTGGACAGCATGTCCGCTACGGTGGCGGCTCGTAAGCGCGGAAAGCCGATCTCGGCGGCTGGGGTCGGTGTAGGTGCCGGCAAGCGGCGGCGAAAGGTGAGAATGGCGCTTCCGCGGGGAGCGGTCACTTCTGTACTGGGACAACTGTCATCCCATCCGAGGGACCCGGGTCCTGGCCCCTTCCTAGACCTTCGCCCCGAACCCTAGCTGGAGTCAGCTTCATCCCTTTCTCCGCGGGCCAAATCTTGGAAAGTCTTGTGCTTGACACGGGAGCTACCGCCTTTCCTGTCCCGGGGCTCTTGAGGGACCAGAGGGGCCCTTGGTCAGTGTCAGGGTGGTCCGGACCCCTGTCCCAATAAAGGATTGTATAATTCCCAGGCTGAGTCTGCGGGGGACAGGGGCAAACCCAAGGTTGGCGGCAAGATGAATGAGGAGATCTCCAGTGACTCTGAGAGTGAGAGGTGAGCTGTTCTTTTCTACCTAGTGGGAAGCGAAACTGAGACCCACGGTGTATGGAAGACTCAGTGAATCCGGGCAGAGCTGGGCCTGGAACCCACGACTCTGACCCTTGGCTCACAGATCGTCGCTGTTTCCTCCAATTTTTGACCCTGAAGTCTCATTTCTGCCGGTCTTGGGGGCGCGGAGGTACCCAGGCTCCAGTGGGAGGCCGATGAGACCTCCCTGGCTTATGGCAAGGAGCTAAACACAGGACTGAACTGACAGGCAAAAGGGAGAGGGATGCAAGAAATACTTGTGAGTCTTTCAGGTCCTGGACTTTTGTTGTTATTGTTGGACGACTTCTAATTTTATTTCAATCTTGCTACTTGTTATCGATTCATTGGGGGTTTCTGTTTCTTCCTGATTCAAGGCTGAGGTGTTGTATGTTTCCAAGAATTTATGTTTCCTCTAGATTTTCTAGTTTTTTTGCATAGAGGTGTTCTTAATAATCTCGGATGATCTTTCATATTTCCATTGTATCACTTATAATGTCTCTATTTTCATTTCTGATTGAGCTAATTTGAATATTCTCTCTGTTTCTTTTTCTTGAGTCAGAAACTCACTTTGTCTCCCAGGCTGGAGTGTAGTGGCACACTCACGGCCACCACAGTCTGGACCTGCTGGGCTTAGGTGATCCTTCCAAGTAGCTGGGACTACAGGTGTACGCTACCACGCCTGGCTAATTTTTCTTGATTTATTGTAGAGATGAGGTCTCACCAAGTTGCCCAGGCTGGTTTCCAACCCATAGGCTCAGCCAATCCTCTTGCCTCTACCTCCCATAGTACTGGGATTACAGGTGTGAGCCACTACACCCAGTTCTTTTCTTAGTTAATCTGGCTAGTGGTCTATCAATTTTATCTTTTCAAAGAACTTCTTGCTTCATTGATCTTTTGTATTTTTTGTTTGTTTTCAATTTTATTTAGTTCTGCTCTGATCTTCATTATTTCTTCTGCTAGTTTTGAGTTTGACTTGTTTGTATTTTTCTGTTTATTTTCATTTTTTGAGTCAGGGTCTCACTCTGTCACCCAGGCTTGAGTGCAGTGGCATGATCACTGCTCACTATTGCCTTGACTTCCTTGACTCAGGTGATCCTTCTACCTCAGCTTCTTGAGTAACTGGGACTACAGGTGTGTGCCACCATGCCCAGCTCATTTTTTCTTTATTTTTTATTTTGGTAGAGATGAGGTCTTAGTGTGTTGCCCACTGGTCTCCAATTCCTGGGCTCAACCAATCCTCCCATCTTGGCCTCCCAAAGTTCTGGGATTATGGGCGTGGGCTACCACATCTACCTGTCCATGTTTTTCTAGCTCCTTGAGGTGTGATGTTAGGTTGTCAGTCTTTCAGTCTTATTAATGTAGGCCTAAAGCACTATACATTTTCCTCTGAACACAGCTTTGGTTGTGTCCCAGGGGTTTTAATAACTTATTTCATTGTTGTCATTCATTTCAAGGAATTTTTAAATTTCCATCTTGATTTCATTGTTGAAATCATTCAGGAGCAGATTGTTTAACTTCCATGTTTTTGTTTGGTTTTGCAGATTCTTCTTGGAATTAATTTCTAGTTTTATTCCACTGTGGTCTGAGAAGGTGCTTGATATGATTTGGATTTTTTAGAATATATTGAGACTTGGTTTGTGGCCTATCATATGGTTTGTCTTGGAGAATGTTCCATGTGCTGATGAGAAAAATGTATATTCTATAGTTTTGGGATGGAATGTTCTGTAGATGTCTATTAGGTTCATTTGCTTTAGGGTCCTTTGCTTTAGGGTCCATTTTTTTTATTTTTTATTTTTATTTTTATTTGAGTTGGAGTCTCACTCTGTCGCCCAGACTAGAGTGCAGTGGCTGCTCCCGGCCACC